TTGTAGTTGATGTAACTGTGGGAGTGTCGCTGCTTGCAGTTGATGTAGATGTGGGATTGTCGCTGCTTGCAGTTGATGTAGATGTGGGAGTGTCGCTTCTTGTAGTTGATGTAACTGTGGGAGTGTCGCTGCTTGCAGTTGATGTAGATGTGGGAGTGTCGCTGCTTGCAGTTGATGTAGATGTGGGAGTGTCGCTGCTTGCAGTTGATGTAGATGTGGGAGTGTCGCTGCTTCCAGTTGGTGTAACTGTGGGAGTGTCGCTGCTTCCAGTTGGTGTAACTGTGGGAGTGTCGCTGCTTGCAGTTGATGTAACTGTGGGAGTGTCGCTGCTTGCAGTTGATGTAGATGTGGGAGTGTCGCTGCTTGCAGTTGATGTAGATGTGGGAGTGTCGCTGCTTGCAGTTGATGTAGATGTGGGAGTGTCGCTGCTTGCAGTTGATGTAGATGTGGGAGTGTCGCTGCTTGCAGTTGATGTAGATGTGGGAGTGTCGCTGCTTGCAGTTGATGTAGATGTGGGAGTGTCGCTGCTTGCAGTTGATGTAGATGTGGGAGTGTCGCTGCTTGCAGTTGATGTAGATGTGGGAGTGTCGCTGCTTGCAGTTGATGTAGATGTGGGAGTGTCGCTGCTTCCAGTTGGTGTAACTGTGGGAGTGTCGCTGCCTCCCGTTGGAGTATTGGTTGGTGCCGTAGTAGTGGTTTTAGTGTCCGGAGTCGTTATACTTGATGTTTGGTTTGAGACTGGTATTGTGACTGTCGATGTCGGTGCAGCGGTTGTGGGCTTCTTGCTGGGACATGTTTGTTGTTGGTTTGAATTAACTTCACGGCAGTTACGGCACACGTAACATTTCCGGGCTTCAGCTGAAAATCATGGAAAAAATTTCATGTGCAGTCTACATGTCATTCATTAAAGTACTACTTTCAGTCGTTGATCTGAATTTATGGAAATTATTCGCAAGGCGTTGAATCTATGTATTTCCTAGGGTTTTGAATTACTTCAATACAAATTTTCTACATTACTGTGTCACACTTGATTCGTTAAAATTAGATTGGATTTTACAGAGGCCTTATAGAGTTACTTTTGTATAATAAAGATAAAGAACTGTAGGAAATAAGGACATAATGTGTTGAACTAGCGCAAATAATGATTAGGTAATATCTTTTATCTACTAGAACAAGTTTAATTCTCCATTGTTATTGATTCTTAATCTCGCACTTATAGATAATGGATTATGACAATGATTGCCAACTGTAGTGGTAAGCATAAGATACTGAGGACCAATTCATCGATACATAATATAAATTGCAACCACATAGAAGTGCAGGTACTTAGCGCCATCTTAATAAGGAGTTTTACGGGTAAGTCTTTGGTAAATTGGTAACAAATCCAAACTCCAGGTAATAGGGAGTTCCGAATCAAATTAAAAGGGGCTCCTCCTAGATCCTTGTGTTATGAACAATCTAGAGTATCTTGAATTACAGCAACAAACCTTATGAAATAGAGACAGTATTATTCTAGTTTTTAATTTTGTATAATACACTTATTACGTTTCCTATAACATAACTCTTATAACATATTAGCTCCATCGTAGATTTTATTTATTTTATTTGTTTGTTGGTTTATTACTCCTACACGTCAAAATGACTAAAGGAAGAATAAATAGGTTGATTATATGAGACGACGTGCTCCATCGTAGACCGCATCATCACTTACTGCTAGGCGAGATAATAGTCAAATATCGGCCAAACAGATAATATAGTCGAGATAATAGCAGTCAAACGTCGGTCCATCAAATATATAAAAAATAACATAGTTAGGTGTGTTGTTTGTTGATTTTTTTATTCCTGACTTAAGGAAGACGGTTGTCGCACAAACACCATTTCAAGTGACTTACAATCCAATTGTTTTCTTCTAGTATATATTGCCAATCGGATATCATTCGAATACAAATATATTGTTTCCATGTCATACCCTCAAAAACTCCATCATTGTCTTTAACGTCCTTTGCCTTTCAATCCATCTCACATGCACTCGATTTGCCACTAAACTCACTAACACTAAATTTACGGATTAATATAAAAATGTTACCTACCTCTGATCACAGAGCACAAAATCACCAGGGTAAGTATATACAAAATCTTCGCCATTGTTCTTAACTTTCTTGCGACTTTTGCAATAAGGCCTATCCATATAGTGTCATCACTTTTATATCAAGTTAATATGACTCTTATATACGGGGTGATCTGATAAGGAACTGAGATTAACAGCACGGGGAAGTCCCCTGTTCAACTTGTTAAAAGTTTAACTTAAATTGTAAATTGGTTGCAACTTGCAAGTACGGCAGCCGAGCAAGATGATTTGGGTTCAGTTTCATGTCAAAAAACATTGAAAAGCTTTTTTGTTTCTTTTTGTAGTGACTAATAATTGCATGCATGATTTGGTTGTTTCAATTAAATACAATCTTTCTTCAGAAGAAACGGAGTCGCTAATTGTGTTTTAAGTGTGAGAGTGACCATCAGCCATTAAGGTACAACCTAGTAAGGTTTTCAACCACTTCTTTATACTCTTGGAGTCAGTTAGTTGGACTTCTTTGCACTTTTTATACTGTCTTTAGCATACACATAATCTTATACCGTATTATGACAAAGCTTTTCTTTCATATTGCAATACGTACATAGGTATATTTTATTTTTAGACAAATTACGTAATATAGCTCATTTTGGTTCGCAGAATATTAAACACACCTTGTACATAATTGCAGATATCAGAGATAATACTCGGTACTTGAAAGAAATCTACGTGACTCACTATAGAAATGCATCATTTAAGTAAACTAACAGTAAAACCAACCTTTATCAACTTTCCTGCATTCATCTGCTGCATCTTTTCATTTATCTATCAACACAATTTTCACGTTATATTACTAGGTAAGCAGGCATACATACCATCTGGTCTGTCTCTGTGGGAAACCCTCAAAAATGGCTTTGCTTATTGGGAAAAAAAAGGCGGTTCGTAGGATTTATACCTTACTAAAACCTCCCCAGTAACCACCATCAGCACTTGACATTGGGTTCTCTCAAAAGACCAACCCTAGAGCCTTCATTGTATAAAATTTGATAAGACGCATATCTTGGGGGAGGTCCCCCAGTCATATGTGTCTAAGATATGTAGGTACATATTTTACTCTGTTCCGGGATCTAAAAAACCATTCCGGTGTTTTCATGGTTGTAACTACATTAGTAGATTCTGGCTTTCAGGAGTTGCAGCGGTTTTGGGAGATTGTGACAGGCTTGTCACAATAGAAGCCCTTCCTACGAAGCAAACATTTATTTAGCATACTTTAGCTCATTAGAATGATGATTCTCTAGTTAAGAATCGCGTGAAAATAAGCTGTGTGGTAAAGCTATTTTTTTAAATTGGTATGTTGATTCCTGAGCGATAGGGAAGTACAAATTTATCGGAATGTTTACGGATATATCGTTTTTACGTTTGTCCAATATTACAGAAAAAGCCAGTACTGTCTAGCCATTTTTTTATTTTAGAGGAATTTTTCCAACACGTGTCACTGTCCTTTCTTCCGTTTGGACTAAATCCAACTAGGTTGAGGACAGTCATGCATCTTATCCAAATTCTGTTGCATGTAAATATCGGACACACACTAGACGACTTTATTGCAAAATAATATGGTTGGAAATCCCTCAAAATATGATGGAGTACTTTGATCTTTACCTACCTACCACATTAATCTAGTGCCGTAATCGATTTTGTGGCACGGTGGAAGAATAATGGAATTCGGTATTAGCTATCTCTTGTTCAGTTTTAAGTATAATTAAGCATTGTGACTTACTTGACTTCGCAGTAGTCATACAGTCATACGTCTCCCTGTCAATCTCTAAAATACCTTTTTTGCCTTTCTTTTATACCTTCCACGGAAAATTAATCGCATCTCCTTTGCTTTTTCAGTGCATGAACTGATCGCATCGTTGATCGGGGAGTCAGAAACGAGATTGTTGATATATTTTTGAATTTTCCATTGCTACATAACAATCATCTGGGACAGCAACAAATGCAAACACACAAATAATTGTTCCGTGTGGGACACAAATCTGCGATATGAGCATGACACGTCAACTGTGCAATTAATAGATGAAGGGGTTCCTTGCTAGATGTCCATTTAACACCAGTGTTTTAAAATTTTAGCTGACCCTTGTATGTTGGTAGGTGATAAGGGTAGTGGGTTACCTCTTTACATCATAGTATTTCATTTTAAAGGTTGAAATTCTCAGTACTAATAGGTAGTAGGAGTATCCCGTACATGATTGACCAAGATAAGAAATAAATAACAAAACAAATATTTTATTTAATTTTATTAAAAAATACATACATACACATTAAAAGGACGGCCTTTAACTATACATAAATACATAAATGCTTATTTCAATGTCTCGTTATGAATTTGTGAATGTGTCATCACATGTAGTTTAAGCTTTACTTGTAACAACCTTTGGAGCTTAATGATTCTTTTATAATATTTATTTCGCCGTAATATATTCTTCTCTGCCTAGTTCATTAAAACACGAATACGTAGTACTTTAAAAATAACAACACTAACATCGTAAAATACATTAAAACTTGCCTTATTCATTAATCCTCTATAAACTGGTTAATCTATTAACAAATTACAGGTACAGTTTATTTTATTGAAAACATTAACATTTTATAGATTACACAATTATTTATAACTTTTGGTAGTCGACGGTGTAATTGTATAAGACACTGCGTGTTTAGCCACGCTCTCAACCCTATAAAATACTTTACTAAAACGAATAACAAAGCAAATAAACTGGACGGTCTGATGTTAAATTTAAAGGCATTTACGGCTTTACCAATGAATTTAATGTTGAAATAGATTTTGGCACCCCATTTTTAAACTGCAAGCGTTACACTCAAGGTGCCTAAGCTAGACCGATGGTCGTTCACTTGCTTTGAAGTCTATAGTCTATTATTGCTTGCAGAACAAATATGTAGCGATGAGAGCTAGAGTGGCGAGTGGGAGGGAGAAGGACATAGATGTGGCTGCATTGCAGGTATCCTTGTCACACACGCTGCAGTACTTGATCTTCTTGCTGGGGTCAGCAGTGTTCATCTTGGAGCTCTCCATGGAGCGACAAGTGTGGTTGATGTCGGCTGGGTTAGCATCCAAGCATGTACGGACAACGGCACCGGTTTCTGTAAAATAATTTAAATTAATAAATTAGTAGATAATTATAACAAAAAGAAAATGTTGCTGAAAAGAAAAGAAGCATGCATTGCATGCATTTATTACCCCAGAAAATATCACAAACTTTGTTTACGGAGTAGGATTCAGAGGCAACTTAATGCGGTGCCAAGAAAACTGAGGCATTGGCACTAACTTGTAGAAGTTACTTAATAAGCTTTATATCCAAAAGAAAACTAATAAGAAGTATATCCCTAAAATGCAACCAGCTACCGATGAAGGGAAAGCAGCACTCCTTAAATTTTGAACTAACTGTGATCACAAAGCTTTCTCCATAGGGATTATAGTTTAAGCAGTTCAGCAGGATAATGAGAATAACAATACTTACGCATCACAATCTTGTGGCAATATCTGGGTGCTCCAACCACACTGCTGAAGACTTCAGCAGGGAGGATACTGCGCAGGTAGAGGGTGTTGTAGTTTATCGAGTCTTGAGACATGCAGTCCTAGAAATGAAACCATTACGTCAGTTTATTACACTTTAAAACGACAGCCCTAATTGTATTGATAGAGAAACACTTCAAAATAGGTCTATTACGTATTAGGTATTTCTATTAATTTTGATATCAGAGATACCAAATGCCTATGGGGTGACGAGGACGATAAATAAGGGTAAGTGCAATAGTAAGGACTAGTGGCTTGAAGCTAGTTAAGCGTCTTCTATATAGTTTTAAGTCGAGTATGCCGTAAATATTATTTAGACAGAGTTTAGGGATTATAAAAACTTACCACTACATGCTTTGAGCCCTTGAAGGGGTCACCGCAAGCTGGGTCTTGTTCAGAGTTACATTGGTAACATCTCAGACAGGATCCTGGAAAGAAAAAGAAAATTCAATTAATAATTATGTAATATTAAGTGTGTATGGAGAGTATGTAAAATTTTTGGAATGATAGTAAATATAACCCGTCAGTGAAATCCGTGATGGAAAGAATGACATTATAAATAGTAAAATGCACGTAATTTTCATAGTGCAAGTCGCGGAGTCTAAGAGATATCATATAAGAGAACCTGGCTAAACGGCCTGTGGCTAAAGATGTATACGCTCAACTGTCGTCAATAAAGATCTTCATCAGTATAAACATTTCGCAAGGTCTCTCCAATAATACTTACGGTGATCGTAAAATAATAATGCATATTACGTCATATAGGTCTACTTTGTCTTAGAAATAGTTACTGTTTCTTTATTAGTTAACATTAATATTGTTATGGCTTTACAGATTTATGTACTAGGTACTAAAGTTAATAGGTAAAAGATCAACAATTTTAAATCTAGAAATCTGTGACCATCAAAACTTGTAGGAAATTAGGGCCTATGTGGATATTAAAACCGTATTTGGCAGTAACACGAAACAGTAGAAAGAAAATAAAAATTATCAGATAAAAGGCTAAAATCAGAACCTGGCATTACATCAACACCAACGTTCAAAGAAAAACAATAAAAACCAAATTGAAATTACTAATGTAGATATCTAAACTTGACATGATGACACAAAAACTGTTCATGTTCAATGTAGTGGAATAACTGTCGACGAAGTACGATTCCCAACATTCTCAGACTCCTATGGTGCCCATAAAATTGATCTAAGGAGAGTGGAGCAAGTTTTTATTGCTCCCATACCAAAACTTATCTATTACATGGAGTTAGAACAAACAGATCGATATGTAAACGACTGTTTTATTCAATTACTGTTTCTTTTTCTCTCTGTCTGGATTAATCATGTAATGCTGACCTTGTTTCGTGTTTAAGGTTAGGCAGACATATAATTCTATTCTCATATTCTGTAGGAAATGTTGGTAGTGATAGAAAACGAGGATACACACTAGATAAAGTCTCGTTAATTGAGTTTTGAGTTGTTAGGCAAAATCTTTTATAATCAAATGATACGTTATCTACCGCAAGTTAAAGCCAAAGGACAAATGATAATGATGAATCGAAGATATAGTAATCAGCCAAAGTTTCTATTTTATTTTGTGGAACAAAATCTGAAGGTTTCGCAAATATTTTCTTATATTGGAGATGGGTCCATAGCAAATAGTGCAAAGAAAATTCATCCAGCTGTCTCGGATGTATCGGTAGTGATGCTAACGTTATTTTTGGAACGATTGCTTCTCGCAACTAGTACTAAAATTAACGACCTGATCCGATAATTTGAATACTTCAATTTATTATTTAGTTGCCTTGAAGTTTCTGAAGCAAAAGTCATTCTTACCTATGCATTTATTTATATTGTTACAGGTTGTGGCAGAATCGGATTCTATTATAATTTCGTACCCTTTATTGCACTAAAATGTTGGGAGAGGCGAATATAACGTCTATTTAGCAGTTGTATTCGCCATCATATCAATATATGTATGTAAAAACATGTAATTTCTCGATGTTATTGTGTTCACCTAAACACCCAAAAATATGTTGCAATCTGGGGATGAAATCATTAGGAAAAACCATTTTTTACATTCGTCACGTTTACACTTTTATTTTGTGGAGAAACGAAACACAAGTTCATAATAAACATAAACCTGACCAATAAAACTATGGTAGGCGTTAAATTAGCAGTGTTATCGTAGTCGATATCAGCCACCTAATAAACGACTTCCTTGCGTGCCCACTATAATGGGCAGATATTAAAGAATTTCTTCACTATCGCCATTAGGCCAGGACGCCGATAATTCGGGCGTGGTACTAATAATAGATGCTCTATTTAACAAAGCAGACGTAACGGTTTATTTTCGTCTGTCAAGCTGTTGATCTAAATTGCATTTTGGGGAGCGAAAAATAAAGTACTTTTTCCTTAAATATGCGGTGATATCACGGAGGCAGGAAATGTGGCTGCTAGTATATGACAATAGGCTCGCCCTCATTTTTGTTGGATCCAATAGGTGTAACTGAGTATGGTGTGACATGTATGGAATTTAGGCTCTGTTTGTTTACAAAACACCTGCGAGTAATGTCAGATTTTTAATTATAATTTGAGATAATGTTAGTTTCTTATTCTTCTTCTTTCGTTCAAACCATTTGGATTGACAAACAATATAATTACATGGTGTTTTAATTAATTTACAGGCTATGTGCAGACCTGAGCTATCATGTAGTTATTGTGTACTGTTTGTTCGTCTTATGGTCAATCAATGTCAATTAATTAAGCTATGTTCGCGATAACATTTCCTTATATATTTCCCGACAATGCATTTCACAATCAGTTGTGCGTTAACACAATTTCCTATAGGCTATTGCTATTATTATTATAATTTTATAACTTTTCTATAGGTTTGTTTAGTGATTTCTTGGAAACAATGAATTCCATAATTGTTTTACACATCTTGTGTATGATATGTAAAAGATATCCACATTTCTTTAAACCGTCTATTTTCGTTAATCACCATGTAGGTAAGCAAACATACTAGGCAGAAATCTATATAAGTATTATTATATAAAAATGAAACCCGTTTCCCGTTGTCACGCCATAACTTGAGAACGGCTAAAATAGACGAATTGACTGTTTTTTTTTGTTGTGTTTATTATTGTCAGGAGAAGATTCTTCTGATAGAAAAAAGTCCTGAAAATCTTACGGGAACGGGAGAAAACGGGATTGCGCGTACGAAGTTGCGGGCAGAAGCTAGTAATCAATAATTCCGAAAACGAAGCAAATATAACCACATTTTGTCATTTAACGTACACCACATTCCAGAGAGGTGAAAAGCCCAGTGAACTCACCAAACGCTTAGCAATGAAAGATTCCAATACTCTAAAACCAACTAACCCTAAAGAAACTATTTTATGGTCTTTTATAGCCATTGCTTGCGTAACTGACAGATATACAAACACTCACAATATGGACGGCATGCCTAAGGTTAGAGGAGAGGCTAGAGGCTAGAGGGCATACGTTAGTCATCACTCAGAGCCAAGAAATGAGATGAACAGCAAATTGGTTTAATTTAGTGTTGGCTAGTGCATTTGCAGTTCACACCCACCTATAATGGTCACTTGAGCTGAAGACAATAAAATCATATCTACAAAATAGAAACCAAGACGAAAGTTTACTGCGGAGAGCTACGACTGTATCTGTTTCAACTGTAAGTTAAATATCTACAATCATTGGTGATTAAAAAGTGGGCTTAAAGATTCTCCAATAAGAAAAGAATGTGTCATAATCCAATGGTTTAAAAAACACAATCAAACTTATTTAACCTGATTTAACTTTTTTAACCGAACATTTATAGGCAAATGTCGATACTGCTGTAAGAATTACTATTATTTCTTTATTTTAGAGCTAATGTCTAACATTTTTCTAAGCAGACACATTAAAAGGAAGATTCTAGATCCTTTGAACCCAACCATATCGTTGTGCCCAAGGCGAGGCCATTAAAAGTACACATGTACTTAGAAGTTACAATATTTACTAACGGCTAGATGTGGCAACAGAGTGGGTACACGTCAAGCTATACAATGCCAGTTTAAGCTGACCGTCGAATGTTAGGAAAGTTCATACAAAATGAGGCCATAATACTGGTTATGTATAGTTCGATGTGATGCCGTGTGTACCTAGTATGGACCAGTCGTTTCCCAATGGGTGATGTCATACAACGCCATTTATATAATAAGACCTCGAACATGTTCGCCTTGAAATAAACCAGTTTTTTTTTAAATGAATGATGCTCGGCGTTTGTTTGAAAACAATAGTTCTTTTTGATGAAAACTGGATATCGTTGAATGTAACTGAAACTGAAGGAATGGTTGTGGAGTTTCTTGTTCGTTCTTGTTCACTTTGGAATAGGTAAACAACTTCATTTAAGGCCCTACTGTCATACGTTTAGGTTTTTAATATTTGAACGTACCTTTTTTGGTCTAATTGAATTAAATGATTTGACTACGACATCGATAACACTCTTTGAATCTAGTTGGGTTATAGACTTAATGTAATTGAGGTTTGGCTTTAAAGTTTTATTTCTTCTATCGGCTTTAGGAGTCTACTCATGTGACTAACGTTTGTTTAAGTTTATTCAAACTGTTAGCAGGTATTTAACATTTATAGCAACTACAAATGGTTTATTTAAGGCGTACAAGTTTGTTTGCATTGGTAATTTAACAATATGTTTTAATAGATGCTGTTTCAACAATCGACACGTATAATGTAAATATTTTTAGTATTTGATGATATCTGTAACTGATGGTATTTTTATATTCCATAATATCTCTAGAGATTTCGATTGGACCGAACAAACATCGTTTTGTAAGCCCCATAAAGTAGCTACGTAGGCCTCTAACTGTTCTTTTTTTAACCGAGTGACATAATAGGACAAAAAATATAAGCTTATATTTTGTAGAAACATTTATTATTATTTTTTATAAAAATGAAAGCTGGACAAGCTCCGTAGTGTATTTTAATACAAATGTTCTATTGGTGTGAAATAGGTCTTTGCGCAGAAGAAAGATAGTTAGGAGCTGATTATGGTAAACTGTTCTTTAACCTGAACAATACAACTCAACCACGACATTGACTATACGGTGTCAAAAATCTAATAAATAATCTCAATTGCTTTTTCTAAATGACACTAAGACAGTTGATGCAGTTTTTAAATGTAACGGTTTAAAATAAAAACAATATGGCCGTTTTGGAGCTCATTAGTATTTTTCGGAATAATAGAGGCACATGACTAATAATTAGATCATTAATATTACGTTGTTTTTCTTAATTATTACTGGCTGGCAAAAACAAAGATGGCGGCAGTTTTAAAAAATAACCGTTGCATTCCATTTTATGGGCTCGCATTACTTTAAAAAATTGTTTGAGCCATTATTCTAGATTTCACGTT